GGCAGTATAATTCACCTCTGTACAGAGGACTAGCACCACTTAAGTCTCACTTCGGCCCTCAAAACAGGCCTTAAAATAGACGTGAATGGTGTCTGTGGCTTGTGCTGGCCCTCTGCACAGGGATGAAATTCACTCAAGGTGCATTGGCAGAGCTGTGTGGAAAAGCCTGCGTAGCACTTCCCTGCATTTTGAAAGGCTGGAGCTAGTATGTATGGCTCACATTCACCACAAACTTCAAGAAGAGTAAAAACTATTTTCAGCATAAAGCATGTGTGATATCAGCAACTCTTTGTAATTACAGAGCAGATTTTAAAAATCGGTAAGGCTTGATGTAAGACAGTTCCCATGTGTAGCACATATGAGCATCACTGCAGGCTCTCCTGAAGCACGAAAAAAGGTGACCTTTGGAAACTGTACCTATTTTCCGGTCAGGCTTAGCATTTAATTTTGGGCGATAAGGATGTTATCACACAAAAGAAAGAGTAATAAAATTTCCAGTCTTTCACGGCGCTCCCTGACGTACCAGAATCATCATGGAGTAAGGAGAACCCAAATCCTATGATGATTTTAATCTTTACCACGTATCTTAGCAAGTTTGGTAGCCCGCCAACTGGAAAAATACAGAAAAGAGTTTAAAACTGAGGTCATTCCTTCAAATGATGCGAAAGGCATGTTGGCTAATTCATTCCCTTGCATTGGGTATATCCCAGAAATTCCATTCCCTTGCATTGGGTATATCCCAGAAATTCCATTTCCCAGAAAGTCAAGTGTTCATTTAAAAATAGAGTCCTAGGGACTAAAGCTCCGTTCTACTCCCAACTTCTTCACATCTCAAATGAAGAATTGAGTTAAGACGGTCAGCAAAATCCTTGAAGATCTGCTTTAAATTGGACATTCACCCACAAAAGCTTATGCTCCAATACATCTGTTAGTCTTTAAGGTGCCACAGGACTCTTTGTTGCTTTTTACAGATCCAGACTAACACGGCTACCCCTGTGATACTTTCCATAATCTTGTGTGAGTTTCCCTTATGAAATCAAGGTTCAAAGTCATTGAGTACGCACTAGCAAACTCTTTGTGCTTTCAGAAGAACAGCTACACATTAGCTCCATGCCCATGCAGGTGTCTGACCACATGGAGTTCACTGCAGGCTTTAATTACTAAGGTCTGATTTGGCAAAGACGCTTAAGCACAAGTGTAACTTTAAGCACATAAGTAGTCCCATTGTTCCAGCAGCTTGGTATTGTTAGGTGACATGGACATCAACGAGACTAGGCTCATGCTTGAAGTTATGTAAGTGTTTAAGTCCTGTGCTGAAACAGGGCCCAATTGAGAAATTACGTACAAGTGCAAATGAAACTAAATAAAATAGCAACATTGTTCTGCTAATGGGTAATTCACTTTCTGCTCCTAATTTATTATTTCTGTTGTTCACTTTCACCTTCTAGACCATCATTTCTGCCAAATACATTGAGTTACTGTAAATAAAATACAGCCACATTTTTATTCAGAAAGTCTCCCTATGAAAGCGGATCACTGCTAATAAGTTACAGATTGCTGAATGCCATAGTGTTGGCTGGTATGCCTTATTAAATAAAGGACATAGTTTAACACTTCAAAAAAGAGTTGTGTTATCATGGAACATTATAAGAAAGCATGACCCAGTTCTTTCCCCATTATTTATTTTGTTACCACGGATATCTTCAACTTTCCCCGAGGACAGCACCCAAATCATTTCAGTGAGACTTTTTTCTTTGTCAGACATATGAAAAGGTTTTATATGGAATGCATTAAAACAGAGATTGCAGCTGTAAAGAGGAGCCTTCTGAGTTAACCTTTGAGACTGCTGGATCTGTACATTGTTGTTTTATTGGCAAGTCTAATATCTGGGTTGTCCGCTGAGCTATAAATTTGACGCTGATTGAATGTTTGCCAATGACTTCAGTGGGATCAGGATCAGACCCCATACTCCCTCCTTTGTGTGTAACATTAAACATTCAATCACAGTCAAAATGTACAGCTCAGCAGACAACCCAGATATTAGACTTGCCAATAAAGCAACAATGTACAGATCCAGCAAGACTGAATGTCTTGCAGCAGGATTGTGACTTATGTCCTCTCATTTGTACTTCTGTGCAGTTTTTGAACTAGGAAGGTATCAGAAAGTTGTCAATCATTTATATCAATTATGCATTGAGAGAGAATTAAAGTATTCTGTTCCAACACTATTACTAGCCTTTACATTAGAGCTCATTGAAATTCTCTGAATTTTGTGTTTCATAAATTTGGTCATTGAAAATTCGATTTTTGACAGAACCCCTCCCACCCACCACAAAATGTTTTGTTGGAAATTTTGGAGTTTTTCCAATCAGCTTTACAGCTGTTTGAATGTACTGACATTTAACCCAATTTGGATGGAATTTCAAATGTTATGAATTTTTTTTTAAGTAGAGCATTTAGAAAAATGTCCACTACACTTTTTACTTTTTATTTGAGGAGAGGAACTCAAACTGAGTTACGATTGTTTACATACTTGCATATTCTAGACATGGTCTTTGCACCACACTTGCTTGATCTTTTGCATATTTGCCACTCTGGAGTCGTGAATTTACATCAGTTGAATTACCCTGTATTTTCTTAAAAGACCTATTTCTGCTGTGCTGCCTATAGTGAATCTAGTTGAATTATATATAAATACCCTATTGTTATTCTTTAACTGTTTCTCATACGTAGAGACATAAGAGTGAAAGATGCTACTTCGTTATAGGTAGACCAAGGAATGTTAGGGAATATGCCAAGCGTTTCTGGATGTGAGAGCTACAACCCAGAGGGCTGATAGGTAAGTGTGAATACTGCCATCTTCGTGCAGAAAAGGAATCTTTAAAATCGCAAGGCCTAGATCCTGAATGGTACTGAGTAGCTACAACTTACATTGACTACAGGATCAGGCCATGAGAGTTCTGTGCTTCTGATAACATTGTCCCTTTAAAATTAACAGAAGAATCTAGGCTTTCAAGAACAGAACACATAATGCCTCTTGTGAGTAATATAATATAATATAATATCATTTCCTTACTGGTGGAAACAAATAGCCTCATACCACCACTCACCATAACAATATCATCAGTTGCAAATCTCAGCCTTAAGGGAAAACTACCCAAGGAAAATGGAACAGGTGCTTTTTAGCTTTGGAATGAATAGGAGTCTGTCCAGTCTGTTGAAAACATCCAACTGGAATGAGGTTAGGTGCCTTTCCTTGAAATCCCTAACACAGAATTCAGAAATTAACTCTGTGTAATTTATTGGAGTATTGGAATGTAGGTGTATTTTAAACTCTTTAAGAAGTAATGCTCTGCAATGTGAAATACTGCTTTATTTCCATTTATGTTTACTTTTTTTTTAAGCACAACACACGTAAATTTGACAGACAGAAACAGAAGTGATAGTCTGTTCTAATAGCTCAAATAAAATTAAAAATAAATGTTCAAATATGGAGATATCCTGTCTCCTAGAGCTGGAAGGGACCCTGAAAGGTTATTGAGTCCAGCCCCCTGCCTTCACTAGCAGAACCAAATACTGATTTTTCCCCAGATCCCAAAGTGGCCTCCTCAACGATTGAACTCACAACCCTGGGTTTAGTGGGCCAATGCTCAAACCACTGAGCTATCCCTCCCCCAAGCTGCCTTGTAGATTCTTATTATGAAACTTGCATGTGCACAGTACAACTTCCTAGATCACCGAAACTGAAGAGATTTGTTTTATAAACACAGTGCTATCTCAGCCTTTGCTATGTGGCTTGAAAAGCCTCATTACTTGGACTTTACACATTAGTTTTTCTTTTGTTTTTTAATTCTCCGTCCATCTAAATTAAGACCTTCATCTGAGCAATAGCAATGAAGGGGGTGGGAGAAAAGATAATTCAGAGGCAGAGTGTAATTAACTGAGTGCTCCTGAGGCTGTGGTAGGTCTGAGCTTCCCAGAACTCAATAGAAGGTTAACCTAAATCAGTGCAACTAGGAATTCTTAAAATTTTTCTGCTATCCTGCTGAATTACATAACTGAATCTTCTAATGAACTCTCTCATTAAACTAAAGAGATAATCCGTTCTAGTGCGAGGCTGGCTGCCAAAGAGTTCAAGTTGTTAGAGGAAATGAAGGGGTTCAGCACTCCATGCTATTAACATGCCCAAACAACAACAACAACAACACAATCTTTTCTCATGGCCCAGAATGTTAAACAGACACAACTAACTTTCATTAAAAAGCCACATTTTCTGCACAGCGCATTCCCCAGAGAGACGAACATTTCTTTTTCATAAGTGGGATGAGTTTTGCACTTCATTAAATGTCTTGATCTTTTCATCACATTAGTCTTTAATCCAGCAACGTAATATTAGTTTACCTGGATTAATGATAACGACAAATGTGTATGAGGAGCGGGGAGGAGGGGGGGAAAGAAATTTAAAAGGTCCTTAAAAAAATTATAAGGAGTGAAAATGCCAAATTCAATGCTAAGTTTTCTTAAAAGAAACAGTTCATTTATAATGGATATTTTAAAACTTTTATTTTAGTGGGGTTAGGGTGACCAGATGTCCCGATATTATCAGGACCATTCTGATATTAGGGGCTTTGTCTTATATATGCAACCTATTACACCCCTGTCCCAATTTTTCACACTTGCTATCTGGTCACCCTAAGTGGGGTTAAAGTTTTCAAGGTCTTTAGTTTTCTCTTGATTAAGATTTTCACTCAGATTGTTAACTATCTAACTACTTACTTACATGGCTTCCCCCATTGTAGTATCTGAACATCTTGTAAACAGGGTCTATGGCTCCAGTCAAAATCAGATTCCCTTTATGCTGGCATTGTACAAATACATAGTAAAAAATAGTCTCTACCTCATGACAGCACACTGTTATTTGAGATGATATGCAACAAACAGTTGTGACCAAAAAAAAGAAAAAGAAAAAAAAGAAAGGGAAATGGGGAAGATGGAGGATGAGGATTATGAAATTAAGAACACATAGGTAGTTAAACTACAGATTTGTGATTTGTGATGTATGCAAAAAAGTTAAACTGGACCAGTTATTGTGGCCAAGATTAAACTTTATCCACAAAAATTGCTCAGTATCTTTCTACTTTGTATGGCTCTCATATGATTCAGGGTGGAATTTGGCTGACATCACATTTTTTTTCAAAACAAAACTCTGGATGACATGTGGATCTGGAAATCCACTCCATTTCAGAGATAGCATCATACTAGCAAAGCCAAAATGTGATGCGGAAGCTGCTGTCATGATTTATAAACACAGGAATAAATACCACCAAATTTCAGAGACCCACAGTGCAGATCTGACACTACCATATGCCCCTAATAATCCAGGCAATGTGTTTTCAATCTGGATATTGCAGTGAAATAAAGATACAGTAAAAATCTCAGGCTCCAATTCTGCAAACACTTACATATGCACTTAGCTTTAAGCTGTGAGTTGTTCCATTGACTTCAGTGAAACTATTCAGGCAAGTAAAGTTAAACACATGGATACGTTTGCAAGATCGAGGCTTTAAATACCTTGGCTGCTTGTAGTCTAGTATATATCCCTAAAATCCTCCAATTTCCTATCACAACTTTGCCAACTATTCCCAATAAATAACTTAACCATGTGAAGGGTTGTATTTTTTAATAACAGTTCTTAAATTAATAAAAATTAAGGGAAACAAATTTCTAGTAAGATAGGTCTGATATCAAACTCCTGAAAGTCTTTAAATATTGTATGGTATAGATTTTAAGGATGCAAATTATCCTTAAAAGGTGTTGCTTGAAATGTGGGGGGGAAGGGGAGCAGTAATTGCTATGTTTCAGTCCATGACACAGTTTGTAGTTGGGGAGTTTGGAAATAACATTTGAACATTTCCTGATTCATTTGTTGTTCCATGTAGTCGTATGTGTAAATATATAAAAAAGAAGTTTTGGCAAAGCTATATTAAAAACTCAGTCACACTGAATAAGTGGCACTGATAAAATAAAGCCAAATCAAAAAATGTTTACCCGGAATGCACACAAATGTAATTAGGGCCAGATCTACAGTAGAAACTTTTGCCAATATAATAATATCAGTGAGGGCTGTGATTATTTATGACTTTTTTATATTGGCAACAAGCCAGAGTATAGATGCATCTTATATTGGCAAGAGTTCTTTTTGACAGTATAGTTTATACCAGCAGCCCAAGCAATGTAAGCTATACCGACAAAAACACTTTTTTGCCAGTAACTGCATCTACACTGGAACTTTTTGCCAGTATAACAATCACACCCCTAAGTGATATTATATTGTCAAAAGTTTCTAGTTTAGAACTGGCCTTAAATTACATTTAAAACCCAGAAATACAGGAACAATGGTGCTGGGTCCAAGCATTGCTAACTAATATTATATAGGCCCTAACTCTTAGGCAGGTATCTAAGGGCATGGCTACACTCGAAACTCCAAAGCACTGCTACGGGAGCGCTCCCACGGCAGCGCTTTGAAGTGCGAGTGTGGTCGCGCGCCAGCGCTGGGAGAGAGCTCTTCCAGCGCTGCAGGTACTCCACCTTCACGAGGGGATTAGCTTACAGTGTAAATGCTGGGGCACTGTTTACACTGGCGCTTGCTGAATCAGAACTATACTGGGGCATGCTGTAGACATTTAAGACCAAATCCACAGCTCATTGATATTACTTGTAATCGCTGATTGACTAATGTGAGCTTTGTATCATGCCCTTAGGGTGTGATCCTGAACTAATGGGGTCAATGGCTGTTTTACCAGCAATATTAGGTGCTTAGTGACTGCTTCAGACAGCCAGAATTATAATTCTGCAAGGTTTGGGTTTGTGCAGGTGTGTCTGTTGGCAAAGTGGGACTGATCTAGACAGAACCAGTGTACAGCCTGTGAATTTATGATGCTATTTGTTTTCTGTAAAGGAAAATATCCCATTTAGGAAATATCACTCTTTTTCTCTTTTCAACAGAAATTAAAGATACACTGGTATAGTGGTTAATGCTCCAAATTCACGGACAGTAATAAAAATAATGTTGCCCAGAAAGCAGCAGGAGGCATGCTGGAGAAAAAGAGACAGGCCAATAGAATGAACAGAAATGTTTGCATCATTGTCAGATGGATGACCAGGCTGATTATTGTACTTGGCTTGCTCAGCTCTTCAGTGGCAGACGACTTTCTAGGTAATTGTACACAATGTATTTGAGTATGAAAATGGGACTGCCCCAAAAGAAACAAAAACCCATGGGATTGCGGAAGGATTTAGTGAAAGAAGTGGATGAATAATGTTGTCATATTGATCTCTGACTGCTCTCATTCTCTTCCCACCCTTTCTGTCTCTGTTTCTCTCTCCCAGACATGCTAAAGTATTCAAATGAATCAGCACTAATTAAATACACTTGGGCAGTCTTACATTAGCTCTAAAAAAAACCACCAAAAAAATCTATGATCAAGTAATACTACATTTTACTGAAATTAACAAAAGAATTCTGGGTTAAGGTTGAAACTCCTCCTTCAGTGATCATACTATAAATGCAGCAAAGAGTCCTGTGGCACCTTATACACTAACAGACGTATTGGAGCATGAGCTTTCGTGGGTATGTGCATCCGAAGAAGTGGGTATTCACCCACGAAAGCTCATGCTCCAATACGTCTGTTAGTCTAAAAGGTGCCACAGGACTCTTTGCTGCTTTTACAGATCCAGACTAACATGGCTACCCCTTTGATACTATAAATGTGTAGGTAAAGTCCCATATGTACAGCCACCATTGTTTGGGACTGACTGCTAAACCTGAACACAGTGGTAGGTTAAAAATATAATCTCAGCCTTTAATCTGGATTTTCCGTTTGCTTTTGTTGGTTTAGCTCAAAATCTTTTTGTTTACTTGAATGTAATTTGTCATGATTTGTAACAGATTTAAAATAAATTTTAAATTTTAGTAAAAGAGAATAAAACAGAACAATGCTTGTATACAACTTTTATATACTATATTGCTGTTAAACTTGCTGTAAATCAATCCCAAACTTGGTAATGGTTTCTCCCATTGCTGTTTGTCAGAGATGAAGAGGTACAGCACAGTATCTCCTTACAGTGACTTCCCATTAACATTAATGTGACTTTAATCAAGGAGAGAGCATTCCTTAAAGAATTCAACATTTTTAATGAGCTGCTGGAAACAAACAGTTTCAGTACTATGTCATACATGGGGTATTCTCTACAATAAATCTTTTGTTTGATTACCAAAGGAGAAGTAGCATAACACACATAGAATACCTTTAATCTCACCTGCCATTTCTCATCACACTCCCACAGTTCTTCCTTCAGGTGCTCTAGAAGGTAGGAGGAGCACAACACAACAGACCCTTGTTGGGTTTTTGTTTTCAGGGTGTTTTTTTTTTTAAACAATTCTACATCCATCAAATTTATTTAGAACACAGACTGGGATCATAATTTCCTTCACCTTGTCTTCTTCAATTTCTTGACACGCAGCTTATCTTAGAGCCTTTTGTTTGGTCTCATAATTGAGCAGTGAGTCAGTAGCCCACAAGTATTGTGAGTGGAGCCAGACATGATCAGCAAGCTTCACTGACCACCTGTTCCAAGCAGTTTCCTGTGTGGGCAGCCAAGTTCAGAGGCACTTAAAATATGAGTTACGGTAAATTCTCTTTAAACTTCTGTACACACTAGAGGCACTCTGAGTTGTTAAAACTGGAAGGAATTTTACTTGATTACTGTGGGCCTGATTCTCCTCTTGCTTATACCAGTTTATCATTACTGACTTCAATAGAGTTACTCCAAATTCTATGCCAGGGTAAGTAAGAGCAAGAATCAGGTGCTAAATAATCAGTCCAGCCACATTTCATTGCCATTGTTTGCACATGTACTATTGGTTCTTGTAACCATTGGCCCTGTCTTCCTGCCACTCCCCATAATCAATCAGCTGTCTCCATGCCCCTACTGACTGCAGCAAGTGTCCATGTGACATTTCTTAGGGTGTTGCCTATCTGCATATTGCAGGACAAGTACTGTTTTCTCCCTCACTGCCCCTCACAAGAGGCGGGTTGATGGATCTCCCTTGAAGACATACTAAAGTGACTTTATATTAACACACTTTAGGACTGAAACAGTCCCATCAAAAAACAAGAAAGAAAAACAGAGATTAAAATGATCAAACCAAGGGACGGGGGAAGGATATGTAGAACATATCTAGTCTTAACCTTTGCCAAAGGTGTCATTCATGAAATATTCACCTTTTCTCTCTGACTCTTTTGGGAGTCTGTATGCCAGGGACACACCCTCTAGTCTCATGTTGTTCTTGCCCCAAATTTGATTCATAGCACTGTTATACTTTTCAGGCTTCTTGGATGTGCCTGGCTTATTATAATACTAAACTCCACAGAGAGATGTACCCGAGTGTGTCTCTGCAGATATTGGAGACACAAGGTGGGTGAAGTAAAATCTTTTATTGAACCAACTTCTGTTGGTGAGAGACACAAACACAATAGAAATTGCTCCACTATTACCTCACCCACCTTGTCTCTCTAATATCCTGCGACGAACACAGCTACAACTCTGCATATAACAATTTGCAGATATTGGTTCATCTGTCATGTCACGGTCACCATGCCAGTATGTTTCCCACAGTCATTTGCAATTGCAGTCACTGCTTTGGATAAACAGTTTAGGTTTCTGTTTTTCTGCACACCTTTCACATCTTATGTCCAAATAAGCCTCCTGCCATTGCACCGACTAACTGCCCTTTGTTCTGGCCTAACAACTATGCTTCACCATGTGAATTGTCCTGGCTGGTGAGGAGTAATTGAATTCAGCTCAGACTGACTTTAAAGAGACAAGACCCCTATCTTCTTGTTGTTGCCTCTAAACTTTATTCTATTCTACATCAGAATGAATTATTGCCAGTTGAATACCAATCTGGCACAGCTGTTTGTATAGACAACGTTTTCTATAGAAAATTAGATATGCTCTCCTTTGTAAAATTACTATGTATAATATTATAGATGATACTAAAGTATGTATAAAATATATATCACTGAATGTTTGGAGGTGGATGGAAATGCTATTTTAAAAGCTTTCTCACAAGGATGTGTCAACTAATTAATTGTAATAGTGAGAGTATCAAATAGAAGTCAAAGCCCTAAACATACATGACTGTTATTCAAGTTATTATTAATACTACTTTAACACCAGAGCTGGGCCAAAAAAAGTAAGTTTTTTTTTTTGCAAAAAAAATTCAAAAGTGTGGACATTTTTTGTTTGATTTGAAATTGAGACTTTTTCATTTTTCTAGATGAAAAATGTTTAGTTTTGGAATTCCTGACTCCTGGCCTAGAACGTGCTTGTCACCACTAATTCCTGTTTTTCCAACTTCTTACTGTAACTGAGAGTTCTAGGGTCATTCTCAGTTACATTATGGCCCCTTTACAAGTGTAAAGGGGGCCTTAAAGTAGGTATAAGTGTAATTTCTTCTGACTAAGGATTTTAAAGGCCACCACTAGAGAGGGAATATATGTGACATCACAGTGATGTTAGACTGCTAGTGTTAATGCCCAAGGTTTACAGAACCCCACTGATATTCGGATAAAACTGCACAATCTGTTTTTTCTGAAACAATAGCTACCTATAAATACCCAAAACTGTAACTTATCAGAAGAATTTGTTAAAATGTGAAAGCAAATCATGCTTAGGAATGTCATTCATTCACCAAAGCTTGACATATTGAAAGATCTATTCATTGGGTGTTCTTGAATATGGCCCTATTGCTAAATCCTACTCAAAGGTAGTGCTTGAATGGGGCAGGGTAGGGGTACAGAGAGGAGTTGGAGCTGGTAAACTCTTCACCAAGACTGATGGTCTGTTCCTGCTTTTTCCAACATGAGAAACAAAGGGTACAACAAAAACTATCTATAACCCCTACTTCCCCACTACCAATCCATGCACTGGTCGTAGGGCTTGAGAATTGGTCTCGTAGGGCTGTGATGAAAAAAGAGTACATCCAACAGTTACCTCCAGAATCTAGGAAAGAGCATGAACTATGAGTATTTTATAGCTGACTGCTTTGATTTCTCTCTTTCTTTATGCTGCTCAACAAAAGCCAATGTCATCTTTCTCTCACACACTCTGACCTATGTCCGTCAGCAAAGGAATCTCTGCATATGCCACTTTGATAAAAAAAACACTTTCCCTTGTTGCATTCAGTGTTCTTGCTTATTGTCAGGGAGCTCAGCACATTGTCATGGTTGTGAGTGAATATATCTCGCTGAACTCCAAGGGCAAGTGAAAAATAAATCAACCAAGTAATTGTCATTTAATCATTTTGGCACCACAGGGAAACAACTGTGGAAAAAGTGGTGGTTGGGCTATAAGGAGGGGAATGGTGGCTGTGTGTAATGTTCCTGCCACAGAACTGCCTTCCTCCCTTCTATGAAGGCATGTAGAAAAAATGGGAGGAAGAAAGGAGGATACACCACATGATCCCCTTGGGGCATTGATTAATTAAATAAAATGATTTAATAAGCGATTAAATAAATAATACCTACATAAATTATTAAACAAATAATTAAATAAATCAATTTGCAAAAAGATTAGTAAGCACTACTCTAATCCTACCTGCTCTGGCTCAAATTCTGGTCCAGTTGCATTCCACAGCAAAACTCTCGTTACTTTCAAGACCAGGATTGGGCCCCCTGTGACTCAAAAATCACAGAACACAGCCAATACCTTAGTAGCCAACCAGGAGTAATCATGCTGCCATTTTGTGAGGGCAAGGAGGGAGTATAGAGGGAACATCTCTCTTCATTGCTGGCTTGAGTTGGGGATAGCATTTCCCATTGATCTCCTCTGCAATACTTTATTGGGCCTCTTCACCCATCCAATCCACATCCTTATGAGTCCCACAAAACCAGGGGAATGGATGGGAAATTGTCCTTCCCTGTCACCGCTTTTTCCCCACGATATTCTGGAGAGCTGTTTGAAAATGTGTGAAATGTGAAACTTTTACATTTTTCATCTAAATTTTGAATTTCAATTAAAAAGTTGAAATTGTCTATGGAAACTTGTGGGGAAATAGTGTTGAAGTTTTCAACTAGCTATAGAGCTGGTAGAAATTTTTCAATATTTGACATTTTGGTGGCCTCATTCATCAACATTTCAAATTTTCACACGAAAAAGGGACAATTTTGGGGAACATTTTCTTGAAAATGACTTCCCATTTTCAACCAGATTTAATGTTCGGTGACCAGGTTTTTCATGTACAAAACACTTTGACATTAGACGGAAACTGTGGGGGCGTTAATATTTTATTTTGTTACAGGCAAAGACCTGGTATGGCAGCTGTGGGTCTTTAATTATCTGCTTCTCCTCCCAAAACCTACAGAGGTCACCAATGAAATCTTTACAATTCTGCCTTCATAAGTAATTAATGCGACCACTGCGTGCTCTGCACTTACTTTAGGCAATCTCTAGGGCATATGGAGAAAACTGCAGTAATGTCAATTATCTGCAATAGACATTTATTAAAATGTCCATGGTGATTGCACTACTGACCCACACCCTCTGCCCCACATGACTCTCTCTCAACCTCACCACTATGACAATTTGTCCCATTTCCCCAAACTGTGCCTGTATCACAGCCTCCCAGCTGTTGCTCCCCCAGACTATTCCTCTCCCTCAACTGCGTGTCATTTCATCCTCTGCTTTTTCTTTCAGCTCCTGGGAGAATGGTGGAAGATCCACTCCCACTCTTCCCCTCTCTTCCTGGCTGGGGTGAAGAAGGCAAGCTCTTCTCATCACTAGAATCTCTTTCTCTCCTCTCCTCCCTAAATGGGAGAAGATCCCTGGTTTTGTATTTCCGCCCCTCCTTTTTGCTCTCAGCATGGTAAAGCAACAAACCACTGGAGGAAAAAATTGCTTGCTCTCATGCTTATTACAAAAACAGAACTTTGCAAATCACTGGCAGAGGGTGAGTGCAAACATTTTCACTCAAAATATGCAAGACTATGTATTAATCTTAAGAGGGACCATTGACTTCAGTTAATATTTTGCAGGGGCTGAATGACTAGAAAACCTATGGGATGACTAAATATTTCTAGTACTCTGGTGTTTCTTTACAACAACCTAATCTGCAAAAATCATAACTTGATCCAAATAGGAGTAATCTCCACAAATGAGTCAGAGTAAAACTTGATTATATGATGTACAAATCATAAACCTCATAAGGGAGGTTTTGTCATTCTGAGAAAGTATGTGGTAAAACTGATACTGAAAAATGAGTTATTTAATTTTTCCAGGAAGAAGATTAGCCAGGATTTTCCTTAGACCTAGCTAAGGATTTCCCTAATTTTCCATTTTGCGATCTGGGGCTACTTAATTAATTGGTTAAAACAATTAAATTAAAATGCTGAAGTGTAGCAATGACAAATGAGCCATGTAGCCAAATGATAATCACATTTTGGTGTTTCCATTCTGTCCCTAGTTATGATACCTAATATTGCTAAACATGGTGGTATGAACATTATGTAGAGAGGAGTCTAAACCAGAATATTGGAGGCAAACCCCAATGACTTATGCGAAAGTCTGGATCTGACTCTGAGTTTTGCAGGTTGGATTTTTCCTCTGTAATGAGCCCAAACTGCAATTCTTAATTTGAGCATCACAAAATTTGCGGGTGATGGGATGAGTAGGAGCTCAGATCCAGGACAGAAGTTCATAGTTCAGGTCCATTTCCTGTATCATTGTTATCTAACTGATAAATGATGGAACAAATTCAGTGGGAGCAATGCCCACTTTTGCCAATATTGAATTTGGTTCAGTATTTTTCTTCTGTGGTATTCTTACACTTAATTTTACCGGTGTGAATGTGGATTAATCCCAGTGAAACTCCACATACTTAAATCAGATGTATCCTGATGTAAACAAGAGCAGAATTTGGTCGCTAGTTTTCCTGTCAAACTTAGTTTGTCACCAAAACTGTAAAAGAAAAACCTGGAGTTTTGGTTCTCAAGGGTGTGTGTAAACTGTTATTTAAGTTCAATCTGAGTGGATTTGCACCCTACAAATCAGATGCCAATCTCGTTTACACTTGTGTAAATCCAGAATAACTCCGTTAAAGTCATTAGGTCTGATTTTCCACTGCCTTCCACCTGGTGTAATCATTTACACCTGTAAAAAATGGATATAAAGTGCTACCAAGCCAGAATGGTCGTGCTTTATACCTGCCTTGCAGATGTTTAAATGCCTACCGGGGTAAGGCACTGGAGATTCAAGGCACTGGAGATATCAAGATTTGAAGATGGCCCATGATTTCTTGGTTTTTAGCAGATTTTGTACAACATTCAGACTGAAATAAATTCGAAGTGAAATTCAATTGACTGCATATCCTATGTTCTGTTGGGTCTGACTACCAATCATGTCAAGTCCACTTGAAAAGAGACCCGGGTTTGCTAGAAAAATTTGCAAATCTTCATAAACTTTTGGATGGACCTGTGCTGAGTTTCAGGTTTGTAGTGAGAGATGAATTCAGGCAAGCTTCACATGGTCTTGGGTTCTGTCATATATGTTTCACAGCTTCACTTCCTATTTGAATAATTAATTCAAATGATGCTTGAAGGACTCAAGCCAATCTCTAACTATTAGGTCAAGGATGAAACTTTCATGGGTGACAGGTTATCCTGTATCTTGCACCTTCTTCTGAACCATCTGGTGCTGGCCACTGTCAGAGACAGGATATTGAACTAGATGGGCCATGGGTCTATCCAGGCAATGGCTATGTTAACACGGCCACATGGATAGAAAATGGCTAATATTCTCAAAAGATGAAACTGTAGCATCCTTAACTGTCTGATGTGTGAAGCTCCTCTTTCCTTGTGATGTTAGCCACAGCAAAAGAGTGCAGATTCAGCAGCCCAGAAACTACAGCTCTAAGGAGTTAAGAAAGCAAGATGAGCAAGCTCTTTACTGTGTTTCTCTGATTTACACTCGCTGGGGATCTGGCCTTTGGAGTCTAACTCTGGCATACTGGTCCAGACTAACCGCTTGGCATAAGATTCCAACTGTTCAGATGGAAACAGGTGAAGGCCTGATCCGTGAGGAGTTCAGGACTGAAAGGCTTTGGGAAAGCAAATGAGTTTTAATGAGGAATCTGAAGGGAGAAGGAGAGGTAACTTGGCCTCCCAATAAAGCACTTTATAAGGGAAACAGCATTATATTTTTAAATAATCATTGCTGCAGTACAAGGACTTTTTTCACAAAATGAAATAAAAATAAAAATAAACAGCTTCCATCCTGACTTAGCTTGAAGTAAAAGGGCGAAGGCTGACAGCTAGAATTTAATCAGATTTGGGAGGAGGGGGGGAATGGGAAGTCAGTAGGGACTCTTCTCAGTCAGCGTTGTTAATGAACTGACAAGCAATTAGAAAGAACTCCTGGCATGCAGTACTATGGCACATTCATATGCACATTTTGCTGTAGAGTATTAGACAAAGACTTCCAAAAGGTCACTAGACGGAGTGAATACAATGCTACTGAGAGACTGTTTTCTGGGAAACTGAATTAACTTGTTCACTAAAATTTCACTGCCATGAACTACAAAAAATTCCAATACATTTCAGCCATTACTTGCAGAATGAGACATTTTTTGATTCCTGCTCACAGCTACACAAAGCTGGTTTGAATTATATGGTACCTGCATAGTGGTAGAGTCTGCTATGCTGTTATAACTTTAAACATGGACATGGCTGGATAGGAATTAAATAGGATCACATCAGTGGCCTGGTTTTATCAAGGCTTAAGCTATGGCCAAAGTTTTCAAACCTGGGAATTCCTAACTCCATAGTTAGGCAGCAAATAAAATTATCCTGATTTTGAAAGATGCCGAGTTCCTGCCATTGACTTTAATGTGATTTGGTGTTATTCAGCACCTCTAAAAATCAGACCACTCCTATTTAAGTACCTAAATATGGTTTTAGGAGCTTAACTTTGGGCATTTATTTCAGAGTGGTAGCCGTGTTAGTCTGTATCAGCAAAAACAACGAGGAGTCCTTGTGGCACCGTAGAGACTAACACATTTATTTGGGCATAAGCTTTCATGGGCTAAAACCTACTTCATCAGATGCATGGAGTGGAAAATACAGTAGGGCGGTATAAATACACAGCATATGAAAAGATGGGAGTTGCCTTATCAAGTTGGGGGTCAGTGCTAATGAGCCAATTCAATCAAGGTGGAAGTGGGTTATTCTCAACAGTTGACAAGAAGGGGTGGAAATCCCTTTTGTAGTGCTAATGAGGCCAGCATAATCAAGGTGGCCCATTTCAAACAGTTGACAAGAAGGTGTGAGTATTGGCAGGGGAAAATTAGTTTTTGTAGTGACCCATCCACTCCCAGTCTTTATTCAGGCCTAATTTGATGGTGTCTAGTTTGCAAATTAATTCCAGTT